GGGACATATATGTCCCAGCCCCCGGGAAAAGGCTAAAGCTATACTAAAGTTATCAGGTTATTCAAATATTTTTGCTGGAACGCATACTTTCATGAAGGTAGTATTTAAACAAACGTTATTATGTTAGAACTGTGTTTAACAGTTCTCATTTTTTAAGCACTTGATACCATCGACACAGTATTTGCTTTCGTCTTAAAAGTACCTCCCTAGTTTATCTCAGAGGATGCAAAATATGTCTTCCTGTAACCTCAACAACTTTATATTTTTGAATACGTGCCACTGCTTCTCTCGATCTTTCAACACATCGACAGGTTAATTAGTTACTAAGTGATAAATGTACTATGTTCAAAACTAAAACGAGGAAATTCAAATAACTAATTTATAAATTAATAATAAATACTTTCCTAATACCACGGTGTAAAACTGGGAAATAATAGTTTACACTGTGTGAAAATAAAAGAAGTTTTCGATGAGGAAGACCTCTATGACGAACTAGTTAGCATTTATTGATAATGAAGTAATTGATTAAGATAAATCAGTTAGTCCACTTTAAAATGGGAAACCGCTTTTTATTAAAAAAATCCACACATTCTGATGAAAGCATTTTGTGTAAATTTATCTTAAACATTTGTTGATTCTTAATTCATAAAGTAGTTATGGTAAATTTTAGTCATTTTTTGTTTTAATTTTTTCACATTAATAATGACTAATTCTTATTTCCTTGTTATTTTTTTTATATGTTCAGCTGTTTTTATTCATAAATGCCATCTATCCTTTACATTTTCATTCTCTGCTTAGTTTCGCTTTGATAAAGTAGGTCATTCTGAATCTTAAATTATTTTATCTCAGATCCTTCGCTATTCTTCTTATAAATTTTGTGTCAGATATTGTTTCAGAAAATTGAAATTATGGGTTGCTATTTTGTAATTATTTGACTATTAATGAAATTTGATCTTGAAATTAAATCTCATTTAAAAAAATCTTACTTTCGAGATTAAAAAAAAAAAAAAAAACTTATAAAAGTCTCGGGTATTGTCATTTAACAACGGTTTCTACTCACATTATCAGACATGGTGACTGTTCATCGAATCGAATGAACAAATTAATTTTCTTATGAATAACAGTTATACGGCTTCATTTCGGTACTGTATTTTCAACAGTTGGGTGCATTTTCTTTTCATGATTACACTCTTTAAAATATTTAAAAATTAGAAATAATAGAACTATACCTCATGCTTGAATGAAAATTTAGCTTACTTCTGTTTAGAGATAATATCATCGTTTTATAACGATGATATTATAAAATATAATAGTAAGTAGCACAACATGAGAAAATAACACGATATAGGAATTAATTCTTATCACCTCTATTTCCAGATTTTATGTTAATTTTATTCGATATTCGAGCCGCTTTCTGCATTTCAAGCTATATTTTTTTTACTTCCTATTTTAATTTCGAAATATTAATGTGCTATTTTTAAATTAATTAAATTAATGGTTATAAAGAATATGCTGTAGGAAGAAACATTATTTCAAACCCTGTTTGTATACACCGTGTCTAAAAAAACGTCCTTACCTGACTTACTCCGTGGCTAAAAAAACATCTGACTTTTCGCCATCGTTGGTCGTAGACATGTTCCAACTGCAAAAATGTTTTAATGACGCAAAGATTCGTGTTTTTGTATTCTTAAATTTTAAAAATATAATTTTGTGTAAAATGCGAAATCTAACGTTTTACATGTTACTCTGGTCCCTATACTTAAATTTAGGAAAATTTCGTACTTTTTATAAAAAATAAAACAAATGAAGCTTGAGCCTCATGCGACAAAAATTGACCGAGATATTTGATATTAAAATCAAGAATTATATTAAGGGGATGTACACAATTTTAATAATGAAATGTTTGAATTTTTTCGTAGCCAAACATTGTTTGGAAAAAATTTTCTGATTTTAAGAGATTAAGATTGACTTTTTTTTTTTTTTTTTTTTTCCCTCCCTAAATGGAAATTTTTATTATTCGCAGAATCTTACAGAACTTGTGTTCAAAAAAGCACTGGCAGACTTCAGTATTAGCCCACCGCCAACTTGTAACATAATTTACATGAAATAAAAATAATTTTAGTTTTATGAATTTCCCTATGATCATTAGATAATAAATCTAAAACATAGAAATCTTAACATTAATAGCATGTTTCCAGCGCTTAAAAGCTTATAAATTACTTGTGGGAAAATTCTTCCTTCGTACTAAATGTCAAAAAAAAATTTATAAAAGAAGACACAAGTAAATCACGAAAGAATATGATTTAATGACATTTTTAAAGGAGAAAAAAAAAACTACCTCTATTTAATCTAATTCACTTTATAACCGATCTCTCAATTTAAATTGAATATGACGTCAAAAATCGCAGATTCTGAAATTAAATATCTCGATCAGTTTTTGTTGCATGTGAATCAAAACTTTTGTGTTTTATTTTATATTACGAGTGCAAAATGTTCTTAAATATGAGTATAAGAATCGGAGGAAAGATCAAAAGTTACGTTTCAAAATATTTACAAAATTTATTTCTTTAAATTTAAGAATACTAAAATATGAGTCTTTGCGTCATTTAAAACCAATTTTGTAATTGGAAGTATATGTCTACTACCAACAGTTGAGAGAATAAAGGTCGGATAAGGACTTTTATGGACACAGTGGTATACACTGCTTTTACGTTCTGTGGGCATTTAACCTTTTGCCATTTTGATAGTCTTTTTGCTCATCGGCATAATCGTACCGCGTTTGGACAGCCCAGACCCTGGATGATTTACGTTATTGCTATTGATTATCGTAACTTTTTTTTTAAATAGTTGTTTTCTTCAAATATTTATTAGCTAGATTTCTTAATTAAAGATTTTTTAAATATCATCGAAACCTTAGGATAAGAAACATGATTTCGTTGTTTATTTGACTGGCCTTCCAGACAGACAAAGGCTAATCAAAATATTCTTGTTATACACTCATTTTTGCATTCTAAATTTGAATTATTAAGAGTCACTTTGATTATGCGAATGTGTTTCCTAATTCAAAACAACTAATTAAATGTTGGTAAAACAAAATAACGTGAGTTAATATTTCCAGTGCATATCCCAAATAGGACTTCACCTCTAAAAATATTAGCTACTAGCAAACGCCGGTGTGATTAAGCTCCATCTGAAAATTAACTATCGGCAACAAAAACCATGCACGTGAAAGTATGTTAAACACATCTCCTTTCTAGAAAATTAATACTAACAGATGGAAAGTATATCATCTAAGGAAAAGAAAATGTTTAGCTTTCCTATGAACAAACAAACAGTTAGTACAAACAACTTAACTTTCTATGTTAAACTTGAAAGAGAGAATTCTTGCATGTATCTTGCTGCACAAATACTAAACAAATAAATAGAATTATGGTCAACTGGCCACTATTTTCTGTGTGGAAGATACTATCTTCTGGTTACACGAAATGAAAGCAGTCAGTATGCTTCGGGTCGATATATTTAGCTGCCACGGTTCACCTTTGGGATATAAATGATAGTCACATCGGTCCATTTCTTATCTATCTAATATAAGTACATAAATAACAGAATGATGTTGAAAGTGAAAGAAAATTTTCAGAATATGAAGACGAATAACAATTGATTGAAAGTAATAAACATTCTAAATCAAGGCTAGTGATTTTATGCTTATTCTTCATGCGAAAACCTTTCATTTGTGAAATAAAAAACTGCGTTTTCTGAACTGAAAACGTACATTAAATTAGCATTGTCAAAAATAACAATTGGAAAGAGTTATTTTGAAGAAGAAGTTTAAAAAAAAATGAAATTAATGTAGTTTTAATTTCCGTATTCGAAAACGGGGGAAGTTAAAGCTATTAATTGACAAAACATTGGTTTAATATTAAATAAGACAGGAAATTAATTACCTTTATAAATCCTTTCTTTAACTAGTGACACTATGAAATTATTTTGTGGGATTTTGAAATACTGATTTTAAGATTTTGAGAAATAGGTCCATATTCCATCTTATTAAAATGCGGATTAGGCGACCCTACCTCATCAGCACATGGTTTATTGAAGGTGTGCTTTGTTGACAATCGAAATCCAATCGCGGGAGACAGCGTGATTCTGTTGATCAAAGAGCGAGCATAGGCCTATCGCATGCCGAGTGGTTATCAGTAAAACCAACAGATGAGAAGAAACAGCTATTTGAGAATAGTAGCGCTCAATCTTTACTCGTTCATCATGTCCGAACCAAAGAAGAATTCGCTAAGCGAAAGAGCTGTAGCATTTTCTGTCGACGCTTTGCTTGGTTTCAAAGAGAATACGAACAGAAAAAGTTTCACATCTCAAACTTGTGTACAAGACTCAGGTGAGTTAAAAAATTATACATTTGTTGTTATTTTGATTCAGATAGTTTAGAATTTTTTAAAGTTGTTTTTGAGTTTTAATTAATAACTCGGAGAACATATTGGCATGTTCAAATATGTAGTGTCATGTTTAAATATTTCCGCAATTAAATTAAGATGATTTTCAAAAATGCTTTGTAGTTTAATAATGCAGCTTAGAAAGTATTTTCCCCCCGTGGAGAATGAAATTAGATATTAATTAAGTATTCTAATTTTTTTTTTGTATTCTTTAAAAAAAGAAAGAATAAGATAACAATGCTTTTCTTTTCGGTGTTAATTTCTAAAGTGTGTGTTCGTTGTTGATTTCTAATTTTTTTGTTTCAATAAAGTATTCCAGCAAACTTCCTTATTCTTTAAAATACACTAGATGAATACGAATAATAGCTTTATCTGTAAAGATGCCGGTTTTCAAATATTACGAATTTCTAATGATTTTCATGTGAAACTCTTAATACTGCGTACTTCATCGTGTTAAGTTCAGTTTGTAGATCGAGTAATAGGGCTACAGCGCTGTAAGATAAAAAGTAGTTTTGTAGAACGTGTCAGAAAGGAACAGAAGATTCTTACATAAGTGAATGAAACCAGGGGGAAAAAGAATATAAATAATAAAGTAAGAAATTTTCTATAGTTTTGTGGAAGAGCAGCATTTTAAATAAATACTGAACACGAAATATTTTAACTATAAACACCTCACTCAGAGGTCTTTTAAGAATGAATAAAATGGCCGATAATTCTGTGGTTAATTTAAGTTTTTAATTTCAGAATGGCTGGTTATTTGCCATGAATTTCAGTATAGAAGTCTGAAACTCTATAGAAAAATCTATAAATATATCTATTTATATCTATAAAAGAAAAATCTATAGAAACATATATGATTTGTGAGTAAGTCCGAGCGTATGATTTATTTACTAGCAAGATGACTTACAAATTTCTTTAATATTGTACATAACTTGAATAAGGGAATTGATAATTTCATTTGAGAAGAAGCATTTATGAAAATTTCTTAAAATATGTCACTGTCTTATTACTTTTAAAGCGAAGGCAGAGTAAAAAGGAATAAATATTTGACACTTATCCAAAGCTTAGTATGGAACTCCTTAGATATGCGTAGATGTGTGAAATTTTAATCAATAATTGTCAGAATTCAACCTGCATTGAGGTTATCTAAATTTAAAAAGGTCACTGCATTTGGTAATGCAGGAAATCTGACTTTTATCCTCAGATGCAAGTATGAGAGATCGCATGTTTGTTACTTGAACTGCAGTAACATGCAGACCGAATTAAAATGAATACGAAACAAAAGGAAAACTGTGCCCACCAGCGGCCGAGCGGTAAAGTCGCTGAACACTGGTAGTTCGGTCCGAGGTTCGAATCCCGCGAACGGGCTGGCTGCATGGGTGTTTTCGTGGTTTTCCCCATGTGTAACGTGTATACGAGCCAGTTTCCCTTAGAAAGTCCTCCACGAAAGGCATCCCTCCTCTTAGACAGATAGCCCTAGTGTGCTTTGCCATAATTAAATACGCCACGCCACACCATGCCAAAAGGAAAACTTTGCTAATTATTAATTTGACTTCGCATGCTACTATTGTATGTGCTTCACAGTTTAATAGTATGAAATTAAAAAAAAAAAAAAAAAAAAAAAAAAAAAAAACTGAGTTCCGTAGTTATACATGGAATATGAAAAAATTTAACTTTCTGTAATTAAACTAAGGAAATGATAGATGAAGAATGTTTGAAATACCTTTTAATGGTATTGTATAGTCATTAGGTTAATTGGAAGCAGAAAATATGAAAAATATGCAACCGCCTTCGCCGGGAATCGAACCACGGACCTCTGGAATACCGGTCCAGCGTGCTACCGTTACACCACAAAGGCACGCTAGGGAAGTGGGAGAAATACCTTATATACTCCCTTTTTTAAAGGGCAACTAGGGTTTTAGGGGACCTAGTCGCCAACTCCTGGGTGCGGAGAATCATCATCCACAACCCTTTTAGTTCGGGCGCCACTTGTAGAGTCATTAGAATTTTTTTGGAGGCCGGAAAGATGAAAAACTAGCAACCGCCTTCGCCGGGAATCGAACCACGGACCTCTGGAATACCGGGCCAGCGTGCTACCGTTACACCACAAAGGAGCTAGGAAAGTGGGAGAAATACCTTATAGTATGAGGTAATGAATACTTCTTTTACTGATAACTTTTCTTACTCGTAGGCAGAGAATCTAACATGTTTTCTTATTGAACTGAAATTTTAAATGTAAAAGGAAAAGTATATCATCACCAAGAAAATTTTTCATGGTGTAGAATTCGACAACAGAAGATTAAATGTAGTGTGCTGAAGCTGCGTGTTTTAAAATCGTACTGGAGAATCGGAAGTAAAGTTAGCTGTCTTTAACGGTGAGTATGTAGGGTCATTAAGTTATTTTGAAGGAGGCATGAAAAATGAGCAATGCCTTCTCCGCGACCTCTCGAATACGCGCCGATTGTGTTACCGTCACACAACGAAGGCATGCTAGAAGGATAGAGTAAATAGCTTAAAAGTATACAAGCAGAAAGTCATGCTGTAGAAAATTTTTCGTGGAAAGTCATGGTGTAGAAAATTTTTCATGGTGGATTTAAACATTGTAAGTCGAAAGATGTGGTGTATTTAATTATGGTAAAACACACTAGGACTATCTGCCTAAGGGGAGGGATACCTTCGTGGAGGACTTTCTAAGGTAAACTGGCTCCTATATACGTTACACATGGGGAAAACCACGAAAACACCCATGCAGCCAGCCCGTTCGCGGGATTCGAACCTCGGACCGAACTACCAGTGTTCAGCGACTTTACCGCTCGGCCGCTTGTAAGTCGAAAGAAGCCGAATTTACAGTTATAGTCCATAAAATAAAGATAATCAGTTTACAGATATATACATAATGTTTTTGCAGGATTTAATATGAGGAAAAGTGTACTGAGCTGTATTTTCTCTATTTTAGAGAATATAACTACTCTACTAGCTCGTTTTCAAATGTAAACGCTGAAAAGAAATAATTTCCAGAATCCTTTTGATAAACTGAACGTCTTATAGTTAGAACAATTTCATTAATTCATTGAAATTCTAATTAACGAGAGCCTTATATATATATATATGCTCAAGATGTCTTTTTTGAGTTACAAAGAAAAGAGTAATGTTGTATATATTCATACATAAATAGATAGATAGAAAATTGTTATTTCGATGAAATTACAATCTACAGTAAATTTTAAATATTTTAAATTACTTTTCTATTTTAATTTACAGTAAAGAATGTTGCATAAAACGCATGAAATTACGGCTTTACCTCAAAAGAATTTTATTATGCAAATTTTTGGTTGCAATGATATCCATTAAACGATGTCATACATTCGAGTCTGGAATATGTGACTCTGCTTCTGAGTTATGTTTACCAATAATTCAATATTGCGCTAACCTGTTAAGATATAGCCTTATCCCTAGACTGAAAAAGACAGGAAGTAGTTGATTTTGAGATGTTCATGCTGCAAAGGAGTATCACTATTGTTTAAAATGCAAAAAAGCCTTTTATTCTCAGTTTTGGGGAAGAAGGAGAATAAAGCGTCGTTTTCGGTACAAAAGGTACTGTGATTTTTGACGATATGAGTTCCTAAGGTTAGTGTGCACAAAGAGCACTGGGTGTCACTGGCGATAACTGGCATAAAAATGTCTAATGAAACGCCGTTTCATTTTGTTCTCAACGTCTAAGTCGTCTTTAGGTACTCGTTGATTGTGATGGCCCTAGACTGAAAAAGACAAGAAGTAGTTGATTTTGAGATGTTCATGCTGCAAAGGAGTATCACTATTGTTTAAAATGCAAAAAAGCCTTTTATTCTCAATTTTGGGGAAGAAGGAGAATAAAGCGTCGTTTTCGGTACAAAAGGTACTGTGATTTTTGACGATATGAGTTCCTAAGGTTAGTGTGCACAAAGAGCACTGGGTGTCACTGGCGATAACTGGCATAAAAATGTCTAATGAAACGCCGTTTCATTTTGTTCTCAACGTCTAAGTCGTCTTTAGGTACTCGTTGATTGTGATGGCCTCTACATCCAGCACTTTTAGAGGTATTTTGAGTTGGGTGGTATTTGAAAGCACCGTTCTGATGAATATCATTTTCAATAAATTGTGCATAATAAAATTATTCGAAAAAAAGAGAGAAAGGAAAGGAAAAGAAACTCCATTTTATTTGTTTGTGCAAGGCTTACATGAAAGAAACGTGAAATCTCATTTCAGTCCCCCCCCCCCCCAAAAGACTTCCGATTTTTAGACTACTGCTTTATAAACTGTAAACGCTTTTTTTTTTAGTCAATAAATGTTATTTCTGTCACTAATTTCGTGCAGATGAGTTTCCGAGTGACTGTCAGGGAAAATGTTAATAGGAGAAAATATAATAGGCAATAACTGTCAACGTTTCACACTTCATTTAATCTTTTTTTCAAATTAACTTTTTAAATGTTCGTTAAAAAATGTCAGTATTTTAATTTACAAATACTTTTATTGATGCGACAATAAAATGTTCATAGGAGAAAAAACTTGTTTCGTACCTTGTTTCACTCTCTGTCTAATATTTCTTTAAGTAATCTCTTTAAATTTTGTCAAAAAAGTGTCTATTTTAATTTTAAAGCGTTTTTATTGCTGCAGGCAATAAAATTTCATAAATATTTATCGATGCTGAGGTAAAATAAATATGTTCTATAAGAATGTAAACTTTAAAAATAGGTCTTTAAAAATATGTCTAAATAATATTCACATTTAAAATATGTAACTTCAACAGCGTTAACATAATGGCATCTAAATGGTAGATGAGGGAATGCCAGTATAGGAAATGCCAATATGTTTTATATAAACTTATATTTAAATATATAAGTTTGTATTTAAATATATTGGCATTTCCTCATATCGAACTGAGATATAAACTTATATTTAAATATATGTTTATAATCTCAACTATATTATATTATACTTATATTATTATATTATATTTATATAACTTATATTATTATATTATATTATATATACTTATATTATTATATTATATATTCACTTATATATATCAAGAGTATCTCAACTTATATAAAGTTATATTTAAATTTAAGTTTATATCTGAATTCGACAACAGAAGATTAAATGTAGTGTGCTGAAGCTGCGTGTTTTAAAATCGTACTGGAGAATCGGAAGTAAAGCTAGTTGTCTTTAACGGTGAGTATGTAGGGTCATTAAGTTATTTTGAAGCAGGAGGCATGAAAAATGAGCAATGCCTTCTCCGCGACCCCTCGAATACGCGCCGATTGTGTTACCGTTACACCACGAAGGCATGCTAGAAGGATGGAGAAACTAGCTTAAAAGTATACAAGCAGAAAGTTCAGCATTTCCCTATATATATATATATATATATATATATGTATAAACCAAGCTTATTATTATTAAATTTATTTGAAATAAGGCAATATCGAGAATTAGCCGGGTGTTGCAATTGATATTTGAAGTCACAGACATTCAAAACATTTCATTAACTAAGTTATTTTAGATGAGTATTTAAATGCTTTTGTTTAGATCGATAACATTTTTTAAAGAACAGCAAGAACTGTCGTTACAGTAATTTATTTTGCGTAGGAAATGGGAATCAAATGGATCAATGTTTTGCTGCAATGAGCACTTTCGGATCTCGAGGGATTGGAATGGAACTAATCGACAAAGAGTTATGGACACAGTTTCACAACCTGGGGAATGAAATGATAATAACTAAAAGTGGCAGGTAAGATACGTGCTTTGAATTCATGTCTAATGTTTGAGATAGAAATGGAATGTATTTTCTTGTATGCTTTTCCGAGTTAATAACTTCATCATGAAATCTCGTAATGAGAAAACTACTTAAGTCACATTTTTAATTATCCTGAAACATTGGTTCACTGTGTATGCTTGGTTTCGAACAAAGCTGCATAATTTGCATTATTCTTTTTATTATGTATATGCGTCTCTGAATTTATATATCAGTAGTTAGTTTTCGTTTAAGATCTTTGAGAATAAAACATTCCAAACAGAGGAAAAGTTTCCTAATAACTCAAATCAGTTTTTATTTCTAAAATGTCTGGCTATTCTTGACTACGCAAAGTCTTGCAAAACCAGTTGAGCTTTAGAAACCTTCTAACCAGGGCTCTGGAGTCGGTAGGGAAAATGTTCGACTCCGACTCCTGGAATTTTAATGACTCTGACTCCGACTCCCTCATATATATGTATGTAAACATATACGCATGGGTTACAGCTTATTTTTTTAATATAAAAGAAGTAATAGATGCTACAGAAAAAAATAGATGGAATAGCAAATTATTTATATTAATTAGAATTTATTATGAAATAGAAAAACTGACATTAGTTATTTCTAAGAAACAGTATAGGATCGGCAAGATCTTCTTTGTTGGAGGCCCATAAATCCGATTTGATAAACGTATGAACTGAGAAGAGTGTAACTTGAGTAGAAGGAAGAGTTGTTGCTGTTAAAGCTACTTCTTTTAACTTTTCAGGTTTTATAATTTCTAAAAATGGTGTCTTTCAAGCGCAATCATTTTTCTCTATTTCTCCAAAGGCTGTGTAGAAATCTTGTTTTGTACTTTTTCATTTCATATCTAAAGGCTATTGGTTCTTTATTTTCTTTCGCTTTGCCTTAGTCTTTTCAATATTATCCAAAACTATTTCTTAAAATCTAATTCATCACTAGAAGAGATGATAGAGACTCAGTTCCAATGTTTGCAGTTTCACTGTCCTGATTCGAATTCACCAAATTGTTCTGAGAATAATTTCATTCTTAATGAAAGTTCGTAGATGACTTTCTTTGCCTTTTTAATTTGTTCGTCATCCAAGAAAATTCGGTGTTTCAGAGCTACATATATTGAACCCAGCAAGATCTCATTGTCTAGAAAACTAGTTTTTCTTTTCTTTATTGACGAAAGGATTCCTTCTGCAATAAACCCTCCATTTCAGAAAGAACAAACATCCCAGTCTACCATTCTCGCCTCCTGTCAATTCTTCAGATTGAAGCTTTTTTTTGTGGCTATATACGGTGTAAAAAGAAGAGTTTCCAATTGCGCAAGATCATTCCACATTCTTTCTGTTAGTGAAACATTAGGATTATCTACTTATTCTAAAAAAGTTCTTAATTCTAAAAACTCTTTATCGTCAAATATGTATTCCTTATCGCGTTGCTTGATCAATAATTGCTCCTTTTCCTGCTCGCGTCCTAAGAATGGCATCAATTTTAGGAGTTCTTGCTGCTACTGCTGCTTATCTAAATTTACCATGGAGATTTGTAACTAAATGAATCAGTTTAATTGCTAATGGCAAATATCACATCCATCCTTATATTTATTTATTAATATGTCAATAAAACAGAAAATAACTATTTATTAATGTATACAGTTCGTAAATAAAAATAATAACTCAGCTTGTTATTAATTTTTTTTCAATTCATTTAGGTTTCATTTCGAATTCAAACTGTCCAACAAAAATTGGAATCGGAGTCGGAGTCGACCTGTTTTTAACGACTCCAGCTCCGGCCCCTTTTACCCCAAAATCTGCCCGACTCCGACTCCACAGCTCTGCTTCTAATTCTGCAACGTCTTTTCTTTAGAAAATATCGTTATAATTTATAGAAAAATTAGCGCAAGTAATCTTGACTGTTTTCACCGACAAAATAAAGTCTCTTACACTACTAATACATTATATAACCTTTTCTTTTTAAATTTCAACTTTAATTACTTTTCAGGATATCAGTATTTGAATAAGTAAATTGTCATAGTAAAATTCTTTGAAATCTTAAATAAAATTCTTAAATATTTACATTAATGCTTTCCCAAAGATCTTTATTGAAGTTTCCAGATTAAAATTGTAATAATAGTTTCTTTTTTAAATTCGTTACTAATTTTTTCCCCTTTTTCTTTAACAGAAGAACATTTCCTGCTTTGAAAGTACATGTTAGTGGCTTGGATCTCGACAGCAGTTATATTATATGGTTGGATATTGTACCAATGGATCAGTTACGATATCGATATGTTTATAGCAGGTTCGTATCTTAACGCTTCAATGAGAAGTAACGGAATGTTAATGCTAAACCCTTTATATTTAATATAATTCCCTTTGGTCCTTTCTTCTGTTAAATGCTTTTAGTTTCTATGAATGATTTCTCCCATGTTTAGCAAAGCAGAATTCCCAAATATTTAAAAATATTTTTACTTTTTACTATTTACAAAGGAAGTTTTGGGTCTGTGTAAAACAGACTTCACCTGACGTCTTCAATATTTTAGCGGGCATTAAAGGTAACGCATTGGTAAAAGTATAATTCACATTTCATCAAAACAATTAATAAAAATCGATTTTACAGTTCGCTTAATAAATTGTATCTTAATTAATCTGTAATCGACAAAGCGTTATGGACACAGTTTCACAACCTGTGAAATGAAATGATAATAACTAAAACTGGCAGGTAAGATACGTGCTTTGAATTCATATCTAATTTTTGAGAGTGAAATGGAACGTATTTTCTTGTATGCTTTTCCGAGTTAATAACTTCATAATGAAATCTCGTAATGAGAAAACTACTAAAGTCACATTTATAATTATTCTCAAAAATTGGTTCACTGTGTATGCTTGATTTCGAACAAAGTTGCGTAATTTGCATTATTCTTTTTATTATGTATATGCGTCCCTGAATTTATATATCAGTAGTTAGTTTTCGTTTAAGATCTTTGAGAATAAAACATTCCAAACAGAGGAAAAGTTTTCTAAAAACTCAAATTAATTTCTTTTTCCTAAAATGTCTGGCTATTCTTGAATACGCAAAGTATTGCAAAACCAGATGAGCTTTAGAAACCTTCTAACCAGGACTGTGGAGTCAGTAGGGAAAATGACCGACTCCGACTCTGACTCCGACTTCTGGAATTTTAATGACTCTGACTCCGACTTCCTCATATATATGTATGTAAACAAGTTTATGCGATTCTGATAGTTGCTAGTGCGCATGTTTAAAATGTTTGAGATCAGATATCGAAAAACTCAATTTTTGTATCTTTGCCTTTAGGTTTCTAATAGCAATTAATCTTTATTAGATTTTACAAGAAATATATATTAGCATTGTTTCCAAAGACGTCATTATTCATAAATATATTTAAAGAAATGATGCAAAAAAAAAAGGTATGTGACTTGTTCTCTTACAAGACAAAATATATTATAGTAATATATTTCACAATAAAGTGGATTCAGTTTGAGCATTATGCTACATCATATAATACATATTGAAGGCTGTGTCTTCAGAGAGGATTTTTTAATGGAAATGGTTGGTATTTAAATTGCACGGGGAGAAGTATCACAGAAATCCTGATGCAAGCTGCGTTACTTTGCCCTGCAATGCACAAGAGAATTAATTATTTTAAGATATATTGCGAGTAATGGACAGGAACCAATTTTTATTCTTACCATCAGCATGTTATTAATTATATTATATGCGTACAATTTTTCAACTAAACTTGAAATTTCATCATTATTTTGTGATTTTGAATGGGTATGAAATACGGGGAAAGAGTACTGAGTATTAATACTCCGGTGAGATAATTTAGATTTGATATAATCGTAGAATTTCTTTCAGAAGCCTTAAAATCTTAAATTCGGTATTGGCCAAAGAATGACTGCAGAAAGTTTTTTTTCTTCTCTCTGTGGAGTAATTCAAAAGCAGTCGAACCAATTAAGTCAATAAGTACTGGTATTTTAGTGCTAAATTTGAATCTAAAAACTTAAATAATGGTTCCGTGCCGTATGTGTGATTTTCCCCAAGTTGTATTGCGAACAGGAGCCATACCCTTTTGAAAGAGTGCGAATCATATTGCAAGGGTACACTAGAGCTCCAGTTATCTAAATTTCATTTATCGTCCTAGGCGAAGTAAGTTTAAGCTTGTTGTTAATTTATATATGTGTTACAAGTAGTATTTTGACTGATTCAAATAATATGAAAAGATCATACAGATACTATGTGTTTTTAAAAGCTACTAGATTAATTTAGATGAGTATATACGACATGTAGATGGGCATGTTGATATTATTTAAAGTTATCAAAAAGGATTTTTTTATTTTGTTTTAAGGCAATAAAAACGTTTTTTGTTAACTTTGTATTCTTTGCTGATATAAAATACAATGAATGAAAAAAACTAAAACCACCTCATTTGCATTAAAATATTTGGTCTACAGAAAAAAAGCACACAAATTATCTGCTTTTCTTCAAATATCCGGTTGGTCAGTATAGTCTGAATATTTGGAGTTTTTTTCATTTCATAGTGTACTACATTTAGGAAAAAATATATTTTCTTGTTGTCATGAAACCTGCTTATGCCGTTAATAAATCAGCTTACATATTTTAATTTAATTCAAATAATACAATGTATCTACATCTCTTAATATTATCTAAATCAAATTCCATCCAATTTAAAAATGCCTCATAATGTTTTGATAAATATATTGTTGCGTGCGTACGGGTTCGTTATAAAATGAATGCACAAGTCCGATGAAAAATGAACAAAAATTTATTATTATCACAACAAAAATGCTTAAATTTTCTCAAATTATCATGCAGTATTACAATATCTCACAGTAGTTTTTTTTTTAAACTACTCAAATGTCCAATTAGAACGTAATTCAAAAACAGCTAAAGAACGCTAATCCGCGAATTCGCTACAATCAACAACAGTAGTTTTCTAAACAACAACAAACTAAGCAACTACTACAAACTGAGATGTTTTCCTCCTTTTATAAGATTTTAAAATCACGCGCTTAGAATTTTTTTTTCCAGTACTTTCTCGAAATCAAAAAGAGATATTTATTTATTTAATGCACGCGCTCTTGTATTTTCAATTTTCCGGCTTAAGCTTTCTTTTAATATTTGTCACGCGCTGCACTGCGCGAGAAATAAAACCATTTAATTTATAATTGAACTAACATTAGCTTTTTAAATACCAAAATTCGTAACACTGCCCCCTTCCCAAGGACTGCACGTCCCGGGCAGTACAAAATCCCTGGACTGGAGCAAAACTTACAACTGTGGCATAAATGCATTAATAAGCATTACATTACAATAATAAACAACATGAACAATAAATGCAATACATATAAAACAAATCAAATGCTATCAAACAAAATCAAATACACATTTAAAAACAAAATGGACCATGGTCTTATACTATTTACAATTATTTTACATTATGTACTATGGCCATAGTAATGAGCTAACCTGTCGTAAATGAACGACTTTAGGTTTAGAGTTCGAAGACTTACGAATCCGAACCACGACGTCATTCAGCCTGTTTAGGACTGTGTACGGCCCATCCCAAGGTGACTGTAATTTCGAACAAAGTCCTTTCCGTCGAGTCGGATTCCACAACCACACCTTGTTCTCCTTCGTGGAATTGATGTTTCAGTAGCTCTTGTGTCGTATCGGGTCTTCATTTTCCTCCGTCGCCAAGTTGACTCGCTCTCGTGCAAAATTGTGCATCACTTCAAAACCGGGCCTGGAGAGATCTTTGAATATATTCCTCAGACGATGAAGGAGGCATCCGGAGGGCGGCCAAAACAATAGATCACAAGGGCAGCGAAGGTCAAGACCGAAGAGCATCTGTGATGGAGAATAGCCGGTAGTCTCGTCTCGTGGACAGCACTACGGTAAGCCAGTAAAAAGAATGGTAATTTCTTGTCCCAGTCCTGTTGGTTTCTGGAAACCACTAATGAGAGGTTATTAAGGATGGTTCGATTGAACCTCTCTACCATGCCGTCCGACTGGGGATGCAATGGCGTCGTTTGAGTTTTGTCAATGCCAAGTAGTTTGCATAGTTCTTTGATTACTGCCGAGGCAAAATTCCTTCCCTGATCGGAATGTAACTGAAGAGGCACTCCGAACCTGGAAATCCAGTGCTGTATCATTACCTCAGCTACTGTGACTGCCTCTTGATCAGGAATGGATAAGCTTCAGGGCCACTTGGTGAAGTAATCAATGACAACGAGTATGTATTTGTTGCCATCAGCAGTTCGTGGCAGAGGTCCCAGGATGTCAAAGGGCGATACGTTCAAAAGGCGCACCTACGTTGTAACGTTGCAGTCTGCCTCGGCTGCCTTTCCTCGGTCCTTTCCGACCTGCACAGGCATGGCAAGATCGGCACCACTTTTGCATGTCATTCTTTGCATTATTCCAGTAAAAGCGCTCACGAACTCTCGTAAGGTCTTCATAATTCCCAAAGTGACCTCCTGTAGGGCTGTTATGTAGTTCTTTGAGGACATCAGGAATCCGGGATCTTGGAAGTATCAGTTGCCATCGGAACGTCTTTCCCATCATCCGACTCGAATTTCCGGTATAAGAACGCCGTTTCGAATGTGAAGTGAATCCCAGAGTGCCCAGTATTGTTTTGTTGTAGGACTACAGATATAAATGTTCTCCCAGGTAGGTTTTCTGTTTGATGACTCCATTAAATCAATCATGAGTTTAATGTCGCGGTCTTCCAGCTGGTCTTTCCTGACCTCATCATCACTCCACGGGTCTTGATCAGCCGATGTTTGTGTTGTAATTTGTCTTGCGACCGGAGTCAGCAGCTCGTATTTCGCAACCACCCTGGAACAATATTGGCAGCTTTCTGTGCAAGGTCTTCTAAACAGGACGTCGGCGTTCCCGTGTGATAATCCCTTACAATGACGGATAGTGATGTCATATTCTTGAAGTCTCTGTATCCCCCTGGCTACTTGACCTTCAGGATTCTTTGAAATTTAAAAGCCAGGCCAATTGAGGCATGGTCCGTGCGGAGGAGGAATTTTCTGGCGTATAGATAATGATGGAAATGCTCTACGGCTTTGACTATGGCGAGCAAATCTTTCCTTGTGACACAGTAATTCCTTCCGGTTTAGACAGGCACTTGCTCCAGTAAGCTACTACACGTTATTGGCCCGTCTATTTCTTGGGACAAACAGCAACCGACACTTTCATTGCTCGCGTCGGTGTCGAGAATAAATGGTCTGTCGAGCTGGGATACGTCAGGA